AAAAAAAAGAAAGACAAACAATCCATTTAAAAATGGGCAGAGGGCCTGAATAAACACTTCTCTAAACACAACATACTAATGGCCAGAAGACATATGAAAAAATGCTCAATATCTATAATCATTAGAGAGATGCAAATTAAAACAACTATGAGATATCACCTCACTCTTGGTGGCCATCAACAAATCCTCAAACAACAAATGCTGGCGAGGGTGTGGAGAAAAGGGGACTCTAGCACACTGCTGGTAGGAATGCAGACTAGTGCAGCCACTATGGGAAACAATATGGTGTTTCCTCAAAAAATTAAAAATGGAACTGCCATCTGACCCAGTGATCCCACTTCTAGGAATATATCCCAACAAGCCTGAAACACCAACCAGGAAGAATGTATGTACCTCTATGTTCATAGCAGCACTATTTACAATAGCTAAGATCTGGAAACAGCCCAAGTGTCCATCAATAGATGAGTGGATAAAAAAGCTGTGGTACATATACACAAAGGAATACTATACAGCTGTAAGAAAGAGAGTTCTCTTATCCTTTGAGACGACATGAAAAGACCTTGAGAATATTATGCTAAGATAAATAAGCCAGTCAGAGAAAGACAAGTACCACATGATCTCACTTATTTGTGGAACATGATGAACAAAATATGTTGTCGACCAAAAGAGATCCAGAGTCATGGAAGTAGGGAACAGACTGACAAACCTCAGAGGGACGGGGGGTTGGAGGCGAGGGAAGTGATAAACCAAAGAGCATATATGTACAAGCAATCAACATGGACACTAGGCTGGGGAAGGCAGGAGGGGGTGGGAGTGGGAAGTAGGGGGGTGAAGGGAAAAGAGGGGGACATCTGTAATACTTTCAACAATAAAAAATGAAAGAAGAAAACAAAAAATAATAATAAATAAAATAAAATACACATCGATCTTTCTTGGCTTGGATCTAACGTACACTGCTTCCTATTTTAACATTCATGATGCATGTCAGTGGCTCCTAACCTTTAGTAAGCTAGAGATTACCTCAGGGAGGTTGCTAAAATGCAGATTCTTGGCACCTTACCCCTAAATGTTCAGAGTCAGTGGGTGTGATGAGGCCCTGGAATCTGCATCGTAACATTACCACAGGAGATTCCAATGCAGGTGGCCCACAGACCACAGTTTGCAAACCAACCATTCATGTATGGCTTAAGGGAAGTTGGCTTGTGTCACATAAAAGTGACAGCCCTCAGCAATCTAGACGTTAGATCAGATGGCTCCTGCACACGCGCCTTGCACCTTCACAGACATCTGTATCGTGTACATGCCTTGCCCTGTGGTCCTTTGTGTACTCTCCTGGCCTCCACGCTCAGCTTTTGGAGAGTGAGATTCAAGTCTTCATCGAACAAGCGCTCCAATGTTGTGAAATAAAAGTGTGTGACAGAAACCAAAGCATGCAGTTCAAATGGTCCTCTTTTGGCTTAGGGCTCAAGTTCCTCTGCTGCTATGTAAGTTCCCACCCCCCGACCTCCCACCACAGAGCTCAGGTGGACAAGCAGTGTTAACCTTTGACTGCAGTACTGCCTGCTAAGTCTAGAGAGGGGCTGTTGTTTTACTTAAAAATACATGTATAAATCACTAGCTTCTGTGCCTTTCCAGGACCTCTGATGAGCCCTTCCCTCCGCGAATCTTAAGGTGACAAGACCGGCGGAAAAAGTGGCAGCAGCAGTCCAGATAAACATCCCAGTGGGTTTTCCATGTTACAGAATCAAGTGTGATGGGAAGAGACCCAGGACCACAGCGGCAGCTCTCCGCACCCCCTGGTGGCAGGATGCTCCATGGCATCCCAGCCCCATCCGCAGGCAGGTTCTTCCCATATGTACCCCTGTAGGATGCAGGAGCTCATCGTGTCCCCAGCAGCGCCAGGCCCCGTGTGCTTCAAACATTTGTTGGAAAGAGGTTAAGAGTGTGAGTGGCAGGATACAAAAACACATAGTTAGAATATCACTTTCTTCTGCCCAGCCGAGGATCACTGGTTCTGCCAACTGTGCAACTTTCTAATTTGGGGGGGGTTCAGTTTGTGAGCTTAATCTCAATGTACAGATCAGTCAAAAGACTAACATGGAAGATCTCCTAGACTCAACGCACAATCCTAAGCACAAAATACACCTAAGTCATCACCGGGAAAACTCCGGAGCGTTTCACAGCAGTCCTTCACCCCCACCCAGACCTGGAACCCGCAGAACAGGTCAGGGCTACATTCAAAGCGATTGACCCGATGCACAACTCAGGTGGTTTAGACTGAAGAACAGGGAGGACTGAGAGAGCTGAGTGCGGTTCACCGGTCTGGAGGACACTCCGTGTCCATGGAGGTTAGAAGAAGAATACCCTGGAGTTTAGAAGAAGAATACCCTGGAGTTTAGAAGAAGAATACCCTGGAGTGGCGATCGGGACTGCTCACGGTCCTTCAGTGAAGAACTGCCTGGAAGAGCCTGGATCTGATTATTCTTCTTTAGGAATCACTAGGGGGGTATTTGGTCAAGGAATAAATGCGGCCCTGCCCAAGGCAGGGGGGACACATGTGAAGGCATTTCGGGGTCCCTTCCAGCCCCACAAGTAGAGGCCCACTCAGTAGTCCCCGTGGAAAGGCAAGACGGGACCGTGTGAGTGAGAGCAGAAGCCAACTTACGTGTAAGATTCGGAGAGAAACAACTCCACCCGTGCACACAGCTCTCACAGGGACTGAACACAGCTCTGAGATTCAGGTTTCCTTTGATGATGATGATGATTCATAACAATAATGGGTTTTTTAAATTGATTTCAGAGAGGAAGGGAGACAGAGAAAAACATCGATCGGTTGCCCGGGCATCTGCTCTGACAGAGAATCAAACCCACCACCTTTCAGGTACAGGACGATGCTCAACCAACTGGACCACTCTGGCCAGGGCTCAAGTTTCCTTTCAATAGAAGCTGCTTGCTGGGCTGATGGTCAGGCCCAGAGTGGAAACATGAGACCAGTGGGCCTTTCTCAGGTCAAGAAATCAAGACCGCACCTAAAGTTAATGGTCTGGTTAGAATGGCAAATAACACAGTCCTTTCCTCTCTTCCCGGCCAAGCATTTAATTGGTTCACACCCCAGTTTTCTTAGAAGTTAATGCTGGCATTATGCAACCTGTGTGAAGAGGTGAACAAGGAGAGGTGACAAATAGTTCCCAGAAAATCCCACGAAAGAGGGGTGTCAGGCAGTCTAGGCTCCGCTTCATTAAAAAACCAGCTACATTTTCAAAGATCACTAGTGAGGTCCACTCTTCTATACTTATCAGAAGTCTCTACCTAGGTGGGATTGCTAACTGGATCCAATGTTCCTAATTTACAGTTACAGGCACTTTATTTTAGGGACAAGTTTGAATTATACATTTTTAAAATGCAAATTAATTCTTTCCCAGAACAATGCTTATTGATCAAAGATATTTCTTCCTTGTATTTGGCTTTATGAAATGAAAAAGCCCAAGTAAAATATCAGGGAAATGAAGAAAGCCTTAAGAAAATGAATCAGAAAACAAAATCATGTATCTTAAATATAGTCAAAACTCACATGCTTAGCCCTGGTGGGTGTGGCTCAGTGATTGGAGCATAGGCCCTCGCACCGAAGGGTCATAGGTTCAATTCCTTGGTCACCACCTGCGCTGCAGGTTTGATCCCCAGCCCTGATGGTGACAGGTGCAGGAGGCAACCAATTGATGTGCCTCTCACGTGGATGTTTTTCTCTCTCTCCTCCTTCCTTCCTCCCTCCCTCCTCCCTTCTACTCTCTTTGAAAACCAATGGAAAAAAAATATCCTCAGGTGAGGATTAACAACAAAAACACCAACAAAAAAATGTGCATGTTTAATAAGAATTCCTGTTTCCCATACTATCTGCAGATCTACTTCAGACAGAAGTCGTGGATGAAAGACTTCTTTATGAGTGTAAGGGACCTTCTGCTCAAGTGGGCGACTGTGAGGGACAGCCAAACTCCCAGTCAGCCAAGGGCTGGAGAGGGCAGCAAGGCACAGCAGACCTGTCCACGAGGGCAGGGACACAGGGGTTCCTGACCAAAAGTGGGGTAAATGAGCACATCTCCGTACTCACTCCTGCACTGGAACCCATCTCACGCTCACTGGCAATGCTTGTTCCGCCCCGTCCACCACCCCGCGCCTGGCCTGTGTGCTCGGACAGCTGGCAGGGGTCTGCGTTTCTCACGGCCGCACCTCAAGCACCTGGCGGTGCTGGCGCTCAGTGAATAAAAGCCAACTTTGAACCGAGCCGAGGTTTTGCTACAAGGATACATCAGGCAAGAATGAAGAAAGAATGAACAGTAGGCCTCCATTACTTAAAAACATCTCATAAGTACTAGAGTTACTTTCATAGTATAAGAATTAATAACTGAATTCTGAAGTGGGAACCTGCTGATGAATCATTAATTGCTTAAAATCTTAACTTTGGAAATGCTGGCTTTAAAACTAGAGTCCTCTTACTCATCAGTGTGCTCATTAAGAACGCTTCTAATGGTTTGTTTCACCTAGTCGTAACGAGCCCACACTCGTGCTTTGTCCCGGAAGAAGGGGGACACAGAAAGCAAGCCCAGGGACCACTGCTCACATAGTTCTCACCGACGGCCCAGGGGAGCTGCTTTCTCAGAAGCCCTCAGAACACACAAAACCACCCAAGCAGCCAGTAAGTCTGGGTTCTGCTTCCACAGCGACGCCCTGTACACTCGAGAACTCTTTCCAGCTGACGTTATCATTAATAACTGCTTATCAAATCTACCCACATTGGCTTTGTGAAATCCCTCCCTGCACGTCACCTCAGACTTTGTCCTCCTTCCCTGAGAAGGGGCAGAATCACTGAGGAGAGTGGAGGATGGAGACGGGCAATGGGTACTGTTTCTGAAAATTAGCTGTTCTAAAGATATTTTATTTTCCAATACCATTAATGACAGAAAAATCAAAACAAAACAGGAAGAAACAAAATAAACCCCCCCAAAACAAAACTTGTAATTTAAACTTTCCAGGAAAACAGATGCTGTAACTATGAAAGGACTTAGGGACCTTTATTCTAATGAACAGTCCCGATGGGAGCTGCCCACGCACCAGGCAGCGGTGGTTCAGTTAGCTCTCGGCGCTTCCCAGGGCTCTGAACCCATCTCTCCAAAATAACGGGGCAAACAGCTCTCCTCTCGAGTATGTACTCTTATCAGTTGTTTCAGACACACAGTGAGTCTCTTTCAGGTGGTTTCATCAAAACCAAAGAAAAGTTCAAAGATAGAACTGCAGCAGCAGATCAGGGGAAGCAGGTAGAATCGTGAGGTCACAGGACAAACCCAAAAGCTGTCCTTAGTCTGGGGCACCTGAACGAACCCACAAGTCCACAGCCAAGGGCCAGGCCGTGCAGAGGCTAGCTGGTGACAGCGAGCTGGTCTATCGCCCCGCCAGGGGTCGAAGCTGTAACTCTCGCTCAAACTGCTCTGCGGTCAGGGTGCCCTGGATGGCCTCGCAGCCCGGGTTGAACACGGAGTAGGCGCTTTTCTCTCCCTCCTTCTTCTCCCCAGGGCCGCGCATCCCAACGTACATCCAGTAGAACAAGGACAGGACGAAATAAGCCAGGCCAAATTCCAGTTCCACAAACAGTCCCAGCAGGATCAACCAGAGAAGAACCTTCAGGAAGGTGATGCTGGTCAGGAAGGACTGGTCCTGCGGCAGTGGAGGGGGAACGGCTGTTCTCCGGGGGGGCTGTGACATGCTGCTCCCAGGCGGAGCGGCTTCCTAGGACGCAAGCAAAGGTTAGAATAAAGGGTAATGAGGCTGAGAGGATGAAAACCAATCTGGAGACGCAGCTCACATTGTTCCGGGAAGGCTTCTGGCTCATTGATTTCTATTTCCTTGCCCTGCTCTCTAAAACAATCATCTCCGAAGAGCTCATGTGCCCTGCTTCGGCTTCATCAAAACCCATCAGCACTTAGTGAGGTGACCCGATGAAAACCGAACAGCATTCGGATGGGTTCCCTTGCATGGGGGGCATTTCCTCAGAGGAGTCTGCTGCTAACAAGAGCTCATTTTCACCCCACACAGAAGCTCCTCTGTAATTGATAACGGAATGGCCACATGTATGCTTCACACACAGAATCAATATGTTTGTTGATTTGATTAGAAGAGCTAAAATTTTTAGTGACATGATACTAAAATGAGGACTACATCAGAAACAGGAACCAAAACCCCTTTCACATATTAAAAAATAAAAATTCCTGATATAGCCACAACCTTTTCATTGGGTGACCATCCTACACATCCCCAGGCCCAGGCAGTGCTTCCTAAGTGTACTCTCTGCCTCTCTCCTCCCTCCCCATGCCACCCAGTGTACATAGAGTTGCTAAATGACTCTCCTAAAACACCCATCCTGTTCACAAGCTTTCAACAAATTTTTATTGCCTACAGGTTAAAATTTAAACTTCTTGGGCTGGAATCCAAGGCCCTCCATTTATTCAACAGATAGAAATGCCAGCACACAGCCCTGCTCTGGGTGTTAATGGGAGACACAGGTATTTAGGTAGCTTTAGGGAGCTACATCTCTACTCCAATATTTTCCAAACTTTTTGGGTATGACCTACAATAGAAAATACATTTTGCACTGTGACCCAGCATGCATATGTGTGTGTGTGTGTGAACAGAAAAACCAGTTTCACAAATCAACAAACACCTTCACTATGTATATATGAAGCTGTCATTTTCCATTCTATTTTAAAAATTTTATTTATTTATTGTTTAAATGTTTTAATTCACTTCAGAGAGAGGAACGGAGAGGGAGAGAGAGAGAGAAATATGGATGAGAGAGAAATTGATCAGCGGCTTCCTACATGCCCCCTACTGGGGATCGAGCCCACAAGCCAGGCATGTGCCCTGACAGAGAATCAAACCGGCAGCCTCCTGGTGCACAGGAGGATGCTCAACCACTGAGCCACAGTGGCCGGGCTTAAATTTTATTTTTACGGAGGACTAGATTTCTCTAAATTGATTTTACCACTCACTAAAGGGTCATGACTTACCATTTGAAAAATGACAGTCTAAAAAATTTCCTGTAAAACACAATCTAATGCTGTATAAATGAACCTGCTACTCCAGTTTGACTGGTTTTACTCTGACCATCCAAAGACCTTGCCCATCCGTGGCCACTCCTCACTCCCTGCCTTCCTGCCAGGAGCATGACTGGTGAAGTACGCATGCCCTGGCCTTCTCCACCATCGGGAGGGCGCCCCTCTCCTCCCCAGCACTGACTGGCTCTTTCTCACTGAGCACCAGACTATTCAGCATTGAAGTAGCCTTCTTTTATTTATTTTTTCAGTAAGTTAAACTAACAAACAAAATTAAAATAGACTCATAGAGCCCGAATATGTGGCTCAGTGGTTGAGCGCTGATCATGCAGCAAGAGGTCTCTGGTTCAATTCCCAGTCAGGGCACATGCCCAGGTTGTGGGCCTGATCCCCAGTAGGGGGCATGCAGGAGGCGGCCAATCGATGCTCATTGATTGTTTCTATCACTCTCTCCTTCTTCCTTCCTCTCTCTCTAAAATCAATGAAGAAAAATATTTTTTAAAAATAGACTCATAGATACAGGGAACAGACTGACAGCTGTCAGTGGGGAGGGGGTGGGGGTGGGGGGCTGGGTGGAAGAGGTGAAGGGATTAAGCAAAGAGGAAAGAACTCCCAGACACAAGCCACAGTATGAGATTACCAGAGGGAAAGGGGGGTGGGGGAGGTAGAAGAGGGTGAAGTGGGGGATAAATGGTGACAGAAGGAGATTTAACTCGGGGTGGTGAACACAATACAATATACACATGACTATTAAAAAAGGTTGTCTCAAAAAAATAAACCCGAGGTAAAATAATACTTACTGAAGTGTCTTTCTTTCATTTTTTTTAATCCTCACTTAAGGATATGTTTATTGGTTTTAGAGAGAGGAAGAGAGAGAGTGTAAGAGAGAAAGAAACACTAATGTGGGAGACAAACATCAGTGGTTGCCTCCCATACGTGCCCCAACTGGGGATCGAACCCACAACCTAGGTATGTGCCCTGACTGGGAATTGAACTCACAATGTCTTGGGTATATGGGATGATGCTCCAACAAACTGAGCCTTCTGGCCAGAGCTGAGTGTCTCTTTTAATACAGGTCCTATGTGTCCCTAGATTGTTACCATGAAGACACTGGCTGCCATTTATTATCTTTTGGTGTCTCCAGAGCCAAACACAGCACATATACATGGTTCTCAATACACAGTGGAACTTTTAGTTCATTTCTTCAATTATATCTCCTATTCTTCATTTAATTTTAAAACGAACCACAAATATTATTTGGCCTCAATAAAATACACAGGTTGCCCTGGCCGGGTGGCTCAGCTGGTTGAAGGGTCGTCTGCTACGCCGAAAGCTGTGGGTGATTCCCAGCCAGGGCACATACCTGGGTTGTGGGTTCAGTCACCAGTTGGGGCACATATGAGAGGCAGCCAATCAATGTTTCTCTCTCTCTCTCCCTTCATCTTTCTTTTAAAATCAATCAAACATATCCTCAGGTGAGGACTGAAAAAAAAGACAGGTTATCTAATTTATGCTGCTTCAGAAATTGTTTTGTTAGAACCTTCTTTTTTAGCATCAACATTGTAATTATTATCTCTTCAGTTATATTGGAAAGGCCCTTAACATATCATCAGCAACCTCCTCCTCAACACACATTTGTTAAACAGATAAACATCCTTTTCAGATTTGACCAGTGTGCACAATAGGGGAATTGCTGCGGGTCTTAGCGGGGAACTAATATAATCAATTCGCAGTTACGATCACTCTGGCTGCCGCTAGAGAAGGGGCTGCAAGAGTAGAAGTAGGAAAATGTTAGTAGGTCCTGCAGGAGGCACAAGAGAGGACCAGGCAGAGATCAGGGTGGTGACCCAGATGTCAGAGAGAAGTGGTGGGCTGACGGATACAGAATACATTTTGAATGTGTATGATTTGAAATTCCCAGCAAACTGAATTTATTTTATTATTGAGGGAGTATAAAAATAATGCTGATGGCCATCATTTATTTATTGAGTGCCTTCAAGATGCCTGATCTCCTGTAATCCAGGCAGGCATTATTATTCCCAGTTTACTGATAAGGGACCACTGAGATGTTTACTAATTCCCCTAAAGCAGTGGTTCTCAGCCTTCCTAATGCCGGAACCCTTTAATACAGTTCCTCATGTTGTGGTGACCCCAACCATAAAATTATTTTTGTTGCTACTTCATAACTGTAATTTCGCTACTGTTATGTCTTAGGCGACCCCTGTGAAAGGGTCGTTCGACCCCCAAAGGGGACGCAACCCACAGGTTGAGAACCACTGCCCTAAAGTAACATAGCTAATGATAGGCAGAGATGAGGCGGGTCAAGGGATTCCAGGATGATCTCCCTCCAAAGCCCTTGTTACTTACTTCGGAGCCTTTATGGGAGATGGTAAGGGGAGGGGGAGAGAGCTGGAAGATGGGGATGGTTAAGAGCACTGGCAAAGGGACAAAGAAAGGAAAGGAGGGATATGGGAACTCCTCAGTCTCACCTGGCATTTATTTTAGTTCCAGGGCACCTTCTGTCGTGTGGAAGTGGGAAGGGTGTGTGGTCGTCACAGCACATCTAGGCACGGTTTAGGGACGATAGTTCCATCCCCATCCCCACCTCAGGCCCTCTGCTCCTGTATTTCCCTCTGAGAGGAATGCCCCCCTCCCCTCACATCACCTGCCGGCTCCCTCTTCTCCTGCAGACCTCAGCAAAACATCACCACATGTGCCCTTGGCCTTGTGCCCAGGTTTCTGCAAGAGTGCTCCTCCTTACGAAATGTCACCTCCCCAGGGAGGTCCTCCCTGCCCACGGAACTTTAAGTAGCAGTCTGCACCTCTCACCCCCAATTCTCCATCACAACGTCTGTTCTTTTCCCCCTTCCACAGCACTCGTCATTCTGTGCTTTTGTTCACTGTCTGCAGCCCCGAACTCAAACCCAGCTCTGTGAGAGCAGGGCCGGTCTGTCTGTATTCACACTGTCTCCTAGATTTAGGGCAGTAGCTGGAACACAGTGGGCACATGACAGGATTTCACTGAGTGAACTGATGGTGTTGAGGGAAAGAAAGAAACTAAAAGGTGACTCCTGAACTTGAGGAGCTGATGCAAAGACTGTACTTCGCCAGGTGATTCCAAAGAAAAAGCTCATTTGAGCTGTGGGCCACCCTGAGCCAAGGGTTAAAGGTGAGAGGTTGCAAGGCAAGTGGGGGCAGTGGACCTTGGAGCTAGAAGGTGACCTGGGGGAGTGGTATGGAATATGCCTGGGGAGGGAGACTGGGGATTTCTACAGGATTTAAAAAAGTTACAAGCATTTTTGTCCTATGTGGCAGAAGCCTGTCACAGAAACAAATATTGTACTTTTTGGGACTGCATTTCCCCAAGCTAAACTCGCGAGTAGGGGAAGGAGGGTGTGGATGCTTCGTTATCAATGACTACCAAAAAGAAGCAATTACAAATAGAAGACTTAAGAAATCTGACATGCCACTGTGTGTCACCAAAATTATTAGGCAGAGATGGATTATAAATTAGAAAAAGAAACAATTTAATGAGAATTGTCACACCAGAGCAAACCCAGGAATGATAACTGAGTCGCTGAAAATCAGCCGAGGACAGAAAGAGCTTGATGAATAAGAACCAAGGAGAGGTCCAGCATTTCCTCTGGTCCTGCTGTCAGGCCATCAGCTTTTGGGTTTTTAACAATGGAAGCTTTCTCCAAGTTCAGATTCTCTGGGTTCAGCTCAATGATCTCATATTCTTTTGGTAATGAGACATACAGTCAAAAACTCATTGTGTGGGTTAGACATTGTTTTTTAACTTCAGGGAGAAAAGAGGGTAGGGGAAGTGATTCTAAAATCTTAGCAATTGTGCTCAGTGAGTTCTAATCAACAATACGGTTACCCCGAGACAAACTGCATGCAGTTTGGGGGATTGTCTGAACCCCTCAGCACTCTTTCTGCAAGTCAGCTGGAACGCTGCCTGCCCTGGAGAACAATATCAAAATGGAATAATGATTTTTTAAAAATTCCCTAAAACCAGATATTATGCAATAATAAATGAACTTGATTTTAAAAAAAATAAGAGAGTAAGGTACACTTCTGCTCCAGACATTTCATTTTTCAAAAGGAATTTTTGGCTCTTGTTAAACTTCTGAGGTACAATGACCATGTCACAGAGTTGTCTGAAAGCACTGATTTTCCCTTGATGTTTTGTCCTGTATTCCCACTTCCATTCTCCAACCTCACATGCAAGTCGCCTGGCCGCTGTCTTCATGCATGGAAACTAAATGAAGATACAGAAGATGTGAACTAAGTTCATCTACAAAATAAGAGATTACCAAAAGAGGTAAAGGGCAGAAAGCTATCATACTAACCTAAATACTGTTTTCACTTTCAACATTCATTAGTGAACTTGAATAAGCTTCTCTATTTCAACAACGACGCACAGGCGCATGCCGCCCCTGGCAGCCACAGCAACCGCACGTTTGCAAGTTTTGTCTTCAAACACCATTCCTAAAGCACAGGCTATGTGGGTTACGGACTGCATGTGGTCCAGGTGCAGAATCAAATGAAACCTTAATTACTGCCCCTTTTTAATCAGTATCTAATTAGACCTTTTACCCTCCATTAGCAGAGGGCTGTGGCTCAACGCGTTGTAGAGAGGTTTGCCAAAGCCACAGGGTGTCACAACGATAACTCAACTAGCTGTTAATAACGCAAGGGTATTAACTCTAGGGAGCTTTCTCCTAGGACCCTAGACCAGCCATTTCCAACCTCTGTGCGGCAATAATTTTTAAAACATGCAATACCTGACTATTTGATCCTGGGCACTGACCTCTTTCCCCTTAGACTGTCAAATTAAAACAGTGACAACAGGCAACACAACACTAGCTGTCTGTAGTATATGAATAAAAAGTATACCTATTTTTTTTTATCAGATCAGCAAAAGAATGTGTTTTGATGTGCCACAGAATGGTAGTAGTTTGTGTGCCATGAGATGAAAAAGATTGAAAATTGCTACCCTAGACCTTGGCTTCCACCTGGAAGCTGCGTGGGAAAGTTGTCCAAGCCACTTATCAGTGTTGACACTAGGGACAGAAGACAGGCAGCCCAGCCTCCCGGCAGGTGGAAGGTGCCAGCAGCCCCGCCCCGCCAGCAAAGGCCCTGCAGAAGAGGAGGCGTGGCCTACGGGCCAGGACTTATGGGCGGGGCCGCTCCGCTATGGGGCGGGGCCTGAAGGCCACCACGTGGTGGGGGCGGGGCCTCAGCCGGAGTTTCCAGAGAAGCCACGAAGGCAGCTCGGAGGCCTGTTTCTGGGGCCAGGCCTCCCTCCTCTCACCTGAGCGAGGCTGGGCTGGGCCGCGGCACCCGCGGGCCTCGGTTTCCACACCAAGAATCGTTTTAGCCAACCTGGGGCTGACTTTGGAGTCGCAGTTGCTTCCGCCTTCTCTCCCGAGGTGTGTGCGCTCCGGCTGGAAGTGCTGGGTTCGGCCGCCAGGCCGGCCCGTTTCCGAGCCGCCCGGAAGTCGGCTAACCGCTGTTCCATGGCGCGCGCCTCTCCCCGGGAGCCGGCAGCGCGAGCCCGCCCACCCGCCCGCAGGGACGCGGCTGACCGGGCGCCAGGCCTCAGTGCGCCTGCGTGGCGGCGGCTCTCGGCTGCGCGTGCGCCCCGGTGGCCGGAGTTCCAGCGCGCTTTTTCCTTTGTGACGTTGGGTGGGCGGTCAGTGCTAAGAGTCCCCTCCAAACGCGCGTGGGCGCGGTGCCCTCCTAGGCAAACTGTTAAGAATCGAAAGCGTAAGCACTGCTCCGTTGTTCCCTTCCCTTGCCCTGAGTTCCTCAGTGGGCAGCTCTCCTGTGCCCACTCCAGGGATCTGCTTCCCAACAGGTGGAGCATCCTTGAGCGGTTCAGCGCCCAGCGTGGGGGCCAGACTGAGACGGAGGCCCCATGTCGCCTGGGAACGAAGACAGGATACAGCCTCCCCTTGTCCTCCAAGGAGTGTCCCGATCTGCGCACCGGGAGGGCGGCTTCCCCGCTGCCCGCATGGCAGGCAGGCAGGCCGTGCGGACCTCTCTTGCCACAGTGGAGACTCCCTGTTGTGTCTAGATAGGTCAGAAACTTAACTTTTTTTCGGGTGCGAATTAAAATATACAAATCTTAAGTGCACGGCTCAGTAAGTTTACTTAGGTATACACGTATATAATTACTACCCGGATAATGAACGTTTCTGGTACCCCGAAGGCTCCCTTGTGCCCTCTCCCAATCACCACGCTCCCAAAGGGTCACAATTCAGGGACTGGTAGATACATTTTTAAAGCTTTAAGCATCTAGTTAACTGCACATGATTGAGACTCAAGTATTTCTTGGACCGCTGACTTTGAATCAAGACAAACTCGAATGGAGTCTTTTGTTCGTTAAACAAATCTGTCAAGAGCCTGCTACATGCCAGGTGTTGTACCTGGCACTAGAGATGCTGGAGGGAATGAAATCAACCTGTTTTCTTAGTGCTTACACTCTAAAAGGAAAGACAGACAACCAAATGCATAACTACGTACAGTGGAACCTTGGTTCTTGAACTGAATTCTTTCTGCAAGGCTGTTCGAGAAGTGATTTGTTCAAAAACCAAATCAATTTTTCCCATTAGAATTAATGTATATTGCCCTGGCTGGTTTGGCTCATCGGTTAGAGTGCCGGCCCTGGGACCAAAGGGTCATGGGTTCAATTCCCATCAAGGGGTTGCAGGTTTGATCTCCAGCCCTGGTTGGGGTTGTGCGGGAGGTAACCAATTGTTTCTCTCCCTCCCTCCCTTCCACTCTATCTAAAAAATCAATGGGGAAATATCCTCAGGTGAGGATGAACAACAACAAAAGAAATAATGTAAATTGAATTAATCTGGTCCAGACCCCCAGATGATTCCCTGTTTTAACCTTCCTTATATATAGTACATGTCTATTGTATTGTTTAATCTATAAACAAACACTTCTTTTCTTAAATTTATCAAACCACTCCTACCAGCCTTAAAAGAAGCACTTTCAGCCCTGGTTCCACGGGTGTCTCAGGTCAGCCTGCAGCATCTTGGCTTTTCCACCTATCACTGCCTCCGAAATGCTAACTGCTTTTTGTTTATCCAAATCAACAACAGTTTCTCTACCTCTTCACTTGCCTGTGATCATTGTCTCATTCACACCCTTAGCAACATTAGCACTCTTGATGGCCTCTTTATGTTTTAAACTTTTGCTAATTGTGAATTTCACCAGCAACAAAAGTCTTTCCTTGTTGCCTGAGAGAGGCTTTTTGTCATGCTGAGGTATCAGCGTGAAAGGGTGGTCAGGTCTAAAACTGAAGTTTGGTTCCGCAACTGAGACATTTTTTTTCTGTGAACAATTTGAGAACTGAATTGTTGGGATGAGAGATGTTGGAGAACCGAGGTTTGACTATGTTTACGTTTAACGTAATGTCAGGTACTGATTAGTGCTGTGAAGAAAAGTAAAGTCAGGAATAGGAATGGTGGGGCTGTTTGCAGCTAAGAACCAGAAAAACTTCTCTGAGGAGTTGGCATTTGAGCAGAGCTCTAAGTGAACTGAACCACACATTCAGATATCAGAGAAAACAGCAACCTCAAGCAGTAGGCTTGACCTGCGCACAGACATCAGGGAGGCCAGTGTAACTGGAAGAGAGGGAAGGAGGGAAAGAATGGTAGAAAATAAAGATGCACCAGTATCCAACAGCTAGAACATGTAAGATCTTATAGGCCATAATGGACACTTTGTATTGCATTCTGGGTGTGATAGTGTTAGAAATACTCTCTGGTAGTGTCTCGATAATGAAACAGAAGCTGGAAGATGGCTTGCCAAGGCAAACTTGGCTTCTGCAGAAGGGTGCGTGACTGAACAAAAGAATCTGGTAAGCACGCACACTGAGTGGGTAGCACACTCCGTTTTTATCCCTGATGCTTGCTGCACCTGACTCCGGTGGTTGGAACGTGGTTTCACAATCTGGCATGGTTGGCTAATTCAAGTGGAGCGATGTTATGGGGGAGAAGTTGGTATTTGAGGTATGTAGGGGTAGTGGGACTGGAAATCTCACAAAATGGTGACTTGCTTTTAAATGGAGTATATTCAATCACACCTATTTGGTAGAAAACATTCTACTTTTCTTACAATTTCCCCGTCTTTTATGACTCACTCTTATTCTTTTCTTCAAACTCAGCTAACATAGGTGGCTTTCATGTTCTGATGTTTCTAATAGTAGGAGGTTGTTCTGATAGTTTGCTGGAGACTGTTTAGTAAGGGCCGTCTCTGTTAGTCTCTGTACTAGACCCCTAACACAAGGAATTATGCAACACCCTACTAGGGTTATTACTCCAAATACAGTGATAAGAGAGGTTAGGACTGAGGTCATTATTCTTTCCATTTTCCAAACCATTGTTCATTAGATTAGAGAAGGGATCTAAACCTGAGTTTTCTTCTAACTCGTTAGCTAAAGTGGTTAGACCCTGTAAGGCTCTAGTGATAGTGCCATCAGGAGCCGTATTGTTAAGAATGAAGTACAACACTGGCCTCCTATCATGATGCACACTCCTCCTTTCTCTGCTAGAATCATATCTAATGCTAGTCGGTTCTCCCAGGCCATCCGGCTGGTGGCATCTAGCTGTACTGCTATTCCCTTGATAGCATCTCTGGTGTAGTTAACAAATCTCTGCTGATTGTAGTAAATGTAGTTAATCCAGTTTATATTTTTATTGATGGTGGACCATCAGAACAGCACTGACTCAAACCCTGCTGCTGTTTGGTTTCTAGCCTTGAACTCATTAGGAACGCCTTGGGATCTCCAATGGAATGAATGTATATATGGGGATCAAATGACCCACCTGGGGCAAGGACATTCCTCCTGGCTCTGTGTCGAGTCGGATCAAGTACTTGGGAGAAGCCATCTACAGAGTGTCTCAACCCTGTTAAGAAAGGGGTCTCCCTGAGATCAGGTCTAACTGTAGTCTAGTAGTCTATGAGATCCATACAGTGGTGCTCTATAGGACCCTGTGTCTCACCCCTGGTTAGAAATTCAGTTGGGTTTAAACAGTTGTCAGTAGTGAGGCCTAGATCATCTCTTTCTAATAGGATGGCTTCATGCTTCATGGACTCAGTCAGCCTCCTCCCTCCTTTCTGCTGAAGGACTGCCCTGACTTGATGGGGGTGCTGACAATCAGTGCCCCTCTGAACGTCAGTTTTCTACTCTCTTCAGTTAATATGGCTGTTGCTGCCACTGACTGAATACATTCAGGCCAACGCCTAGTGACTGGATCTAGTAGCTTGGATAAGTAAGCAACTGGCTGTCTTTTACCCCGTGTTCCTAGGGCAAAAGTCCTAGGGCAGTTCCCTTATCCACATTACCATACAAGTGGAATGGCTTTTCTAAGAGGGCAGCACCAGCACTGGGGCAGTGATAGGGCTTGTTTGAGGGTATCTACTGACTGTGTCTCCTCAGGCTTCCAGAGGAGAAGGTCAGGTTCTTCATCTAAGAGTCTGAGATATAGATCCTTAGTTTTGAGTGCATAGGAGTCTATCCACAACCTACAGTATCCAATGAATCCTAAGAACTTCCTGAGTTGCTTTTTTGTGTTTGAAGGGGCATGCTGGAAATTCCTGAGATTTGTTCCGGGCCTAATCTTCACTTCCCCTCACTTATTAAATGCCCTAGGTACTTGACCTCTGTTTTCAACAAACTGTAATTTAGTCTTGGAGACACTTAGACTCTCTTGACCTAGACAATTAAGTAAATCTATGGTGTTGCTGGTGACCTCCTCCTTGCTATTTCCTAAGAGTAGTAAATCATCCACATATTAAAGGAGTCCAATTGAAGTGGTGGTGGGGGGTCTTAAATTTTTCTAGTACTCGCTCAAGGACCTGCCCAAGGTTGGGTGACTCAGTAAATCCTTGGGGGAGGATCGTCCAATGGTATTGTTGTTTCCTCCTAGTTTGAGGATCTTCCCCTTCAAAGGCAAATAGGTCTCTACTGTCCTCAGCCAAAGGGTAAGCCCAAAAGGCATAAGGGTTAGGGACTACGCTGTGCCTACTCAGGACAATTTGGTTCATTGCCCTTAAATCTTGGACTAATCTATAGGATCAATCAGGTTTCCTTACTGGTAGTACTGGGGTACTGAATGGGGACATGCAGGGTTCAAGGAGGCCATCCCGAAGTAGGCTTTCTACAGTAGGTCGTGATCCTAACTTCTCTTCCAGGGGTATCGGGTATTGCCTCATTCTCACTGTTTCCCCTTTGTTTTTAAGGTCAATATGAATTGGGGGAATATCCAGTCTCCCACGGTTCCCATCTTTGGTCCAGACCTCAGGGAGAATCTTCTCTTCCTCCTTGGCAGAGAGGAAGTTAGGTAAGACCTTAATTTCTTAATTTTCTTCTGGGTGACAGCTAACCCTATTCCTAGCTTGGTCATTAGGTCTTGACCTTACAGATTTGTTCCAGCCTCAGGCATGAAGAGGAATTCTACCTGACTCTGCCTGGTCTTATACTTGACTTGAGTTTCTTTGAAGATGGGAACATGG